AAGAGGAAGGCAGCAGCACTGAATGGGCTTCAATTTGCCCCTTTGCAATGTCCCACCTTTGCCTTTTCTATCCCTTGTTTCCATTGCAAACACAGTATTACAGATGGGGGGGGTGCAAGAAGGGAAAACATATGTAATGTGCTTCCCATCAATAAAGAACCCATTTCCCTCTAAACATCCTTCTATCAGCTAACAAATTGACCTAACCATTGGCAATCACAGAAAAATCCATTTATTTGGAAGTAATGCAAATTTATTAGGAAAAGTGCTCCTGGAATACTGCAAGCTCTCTGCTGAACTTTTCCCATTTTTGTTGATGAATTGGTTACTTACAACTATTTCCTAAAGCCAAGATTGTTGTCTGACAGAACTGTACTGTGATAGGAGCAGGCCCAGGACTGAACTCATTTGCAGTTCCTCCACACTCTCTGTGGAGGAGGAATACATCACTCTACTCTTTTGCTGCAGAGTATCCTACCCTACTGCTGAATAGCTATTCTGGCTGGTGAGCAGAGGAGTAACAGGAAGATGTTCCTTCTCCCTGATCATTTGCTCATAGAGGGAATGACGGACAAAGATCCCCCGCTCTTGCCATCTCCATGAGTCATCATCTAAGCAGAAATAAGCACAGGAATAAAGGAAGTTTTTAACTTCCTCTTCACTCCCCCACACCCTAGCAAGGGTTATGACAATCTAGCCTTAAGTACTTAGAGGAAAACTTCTCAGTGAGTCAGTTGTTTGCAAATAGCTCTCTGTTTTCCTTTGCATTTCCTCTCTATGGGTGCTCCATGTACACCTTGCATTCGGACATGAGTTTTTCCCCCAACTTCTGCATGCAGCTAAGCTCTTAGCAACATTGCTGCAGGCTCTCTGCGTGTCCTTATGTGAGGTCCCACATCTTTTGAACCCATCAGTAGTTAAAACTTTGCTTTTAAAGTTTTGATACTTGAATGAGATAACCATTTATTTTGTCCACCTCCTACTACCATTCTGTAGTTTACCCAGAACTCAAATTCTAGCTGTTGAAAATACACCTTTTAAAAGTAATACCTTTCTGAATTCAAAATGGTCTCAGAGTTCTAGGCTTTTACAGGGATTCTCAAGGTAAAAGGTGGGCCGAGTGCTGCTGAGGCACACAGTAACCTTTATTCTTGACAATAGATCTAATTCTGTTCCACTCACTATTTTTTTTTAAGTCGTTGAAATTCTGCAGTTTAAGTAGGCCCAGTTGCTAAACATATCCCCCTTGTTGGTTCATTTTCTTGCAATATAGCTACTTTCCTATTTCACAAGAGTTGACTCACTTCTGACACAATGTTCCAAGATAAACGCCCACACGGTGTAACATTCAGACTTTATTCTTTCCTCCACATATACCGGCACTCTCATCAAATATCACCTGAAAGTAGAATCTTACTTCCTTCGGCTGAACCAAAATGCCTGAGTATATTCCCTTAGAAATCTAACTATTACAATACCATGCAAAAAAATTGCCGTTAAAAAATATTTACAACTAATGGTGCATTACTGATCAGTAAAGCTGTGTTAATTTACCTGAATACAGGCTGAAAGTTTGACTTAAAAATATTAACTAATAATCTATTTTAGAGTGCTTTTTGATAAAGAACAACCTCTGTTGAAATTCATAACACTGTCTGAATCCATATGTGCTGCAGAAATACATTGAGTTGTCCACCCAGTTATATAAAAAAAGAACCCCTTCCAAAACATAAATAAAGTTTAATCTTTTATTATAAAAATATTCAAAAAAGTTTGTTACTATAGCTGATCAGTGCTAACTAAAGTCCCTATCCTATCACAGAAGTAACATTATAAGAAATCAAATCAGATAGGAGGAGTGTCGGAAAGAATAAGATCTAGCTGTATTTTCAGAAGTACCAGATGGTAAATCACAGAAGTCAAAGCAATAACACACCTAGATTATTCTGAACAGTTCAAGACATCAGCAAAATAGACATTTCAGGAATGGAGGAATTTATTTATGAGGAAATCATTTAAAGAAACAAAAAACTATCTAAAGAAATCAACTAAGAGAATAGATAAATAGTCTGCATACACAACATAAATGTAGACATTCTTACTGAATGCTGTGAGCGACAGTGAAAAAGGAGCTAAGTACTATATAAACCTATATCATAACACATGGTTAAATGCAACTCCATAGTCTACCAAGAGCAGAATGCATAACAATACTGTGCAAACCAGCCAAGGAGAGAGTAGAGAACTAGCAAGATTATATATGTTGTGTTGTCTCAGGACATGAAGTACAAGTAACGGAATAAAAATAAACTATCAGGAAATTTAAAAATAAATATTAGCAACATATTTTCAATGACAAGATCTCTTGCAAAAATTTTCTCTTACAGCATCAATCCTCCAACTTGCAGCAGCACTAGTCAGTACTATATCTATTGTATTGTCAGAAAAACTGGAAATGGTAATATTATCTTTTCTACCTGCAGTTTGTATTATTCCATAATGTTAAATGAAGCTTCAGCTGGTTCATGATGTGCATAGTTATTTCTCTATTTCATTAAAAAAACAGTGTTCACACACATCTGCAAGTTTGTCTTCCATATGGAATAATTATGTTCAGTGAAATTCTGAGACCAGTGAACCAAGACTTTGATTGTCATGCTGCTGAAATCCTAGAAACACAAAAAAATCTTTGAAAACTGTATGATAACAACGCAAGAAATAAAAGTCATGATCTTTATTCAAAATTTTTCAGGTTCAACAGTGACATTTTTCTTTATCCACTAGCAGGTCTTTAATAAAATGACTGATTTCAGACCATATATATAACTTCGATGATACAAGTTCAATCCAACAGACACAAAGGAACTGTGGAAGATGTGATGTGATCAGTATGTGACGTGAAATCTTTGGTTGTACTCAACAAATGTAAGGAGACATTTTTCCAGAGTCACTTCTGTTTAAACAGAATGTGCCTCTCCAATAGCAACTGTCAAGGAATTAATTCAACAGCATGCTACCACATTACTTACAATATTTCCATAAGGATGACATATTTTGTAATTAAAAAGAAACCGTTAGAAATGTTTCATATGCCTAATTTAAAGAAAAATAGCTGCAGGTGGTCATGATCAAGTTCACACAGCAGGAGGTACTAGAGTTCAATACTAATAAGAAATAACAAAGTTCATTTGGTAGGCTAAGAAATTTCTCTTCCAGGGTCTGCTTCAACATATTTATTGAACTGTTAGAAGTTCACATTTCACCAAATCTATACCAGGAAATTAGTACTAAAATGTGATCTTTTTTGAATTAATAAAGGTGAATAATTTTTCTCAAAAATCATTCAGTTAACTTAAACTGAAACAACGTTGGTCTTTCCACAAAACTTTGCCATATCAACTTGGATCAGCTAAAGTTAGAGTGTAATGCTTTACAGTTTATTTAAACTTTTTTGGACAGCTTCATACTTTACATGATTCCTCATCACATCAAAAACACTAATAGCCATTTTCACTAAGCACTCTGAATAACCACCTTCAGATGATTGAGCCATATCAGGCTGTTTATTTCATCCATGCAAACACTGGTACCATGAGGAATTTACCCTACTTCTGTCACTTTCCTCCACGAACATACTTTTGTATGTTAGTTGCACATATGGCCAAATTACAGGAAGAAAAAGATATCTACAAAGAAAGATTAAAAATAATAATAATAATCTTAAAAATAAGCCAAAAGAACAACTACTCTCAATAGCAAGGAGTTCAAGCAAATACAGTCTGTCAGATTCAGAAAGCTCCACATCAAGCCTCATCAGGTGTCTGCATTACTTTCCCACAGCTGTGAGAATATGGAAGTATTTGAGCAACTCTGGATAAAGTCAACTAAGCTCATCCTTTTGGTTCACGAACTAAGTCCACTGGATGCAGAAGTAATGGCAGCAAAGGGGAGAAAAAAGCAGACACACCAGGCATCAGTGGCAACAAACTGAAACAGCAGTTCGAAAGCAGTTCGAATGTCATTACAGTGCAAGGCAGCAGGGACTTACAGGAGAACTGAAAATCTGGATCCAGAGCGATCTGGAATACTTTTCAAGTGAACTTTCTCTATCTACAAGCAGGGAGCCCTCAGAAAACAGAAAACTAGATCCGTATCTTCTGTGTCTGTAGATGCAGCATCTGACACACAAGAACTTTTCCTTCCCGTTGCCGTTTATCAAAGCATTTGAATAAAACGTCCTTAGCTATTAGGAGAAGGGGCATATTCAAAACATATTAAACATAGCAATCACATGTTAGGAAGGAACATTCAGTTCTTGCCTCTGCCTGTAGGGCAGAGTCATCAGTATATACACTACAATGCGTTACTGTTGTTCCATGAGAGTCTGGAAAACAGAAAAGGCTAAAGCAGCATCCACATGTCTCTATTTCAGGAGTACTCTTGCATATTGGGAGAGAGATATACATGGGACAAGAATACCACAAAGACCCGTAAACAAACAAAATTAAGCTTCATCCCAACACATACATATATATTATTAGTATATTCTCTCATTGCTCACCTGGAGCATTTTGCAGTTAACATTTCTACAAGGCACTATCAACTCCAATAGAGTTCTTGATAACTACATCAGTGCAGGGCTATGTATTTACGACTGACTGTATTATAAGATTATATATAAGCTTATACTTCAATGACTGCTGAAGAAAATTCTCACTTTTAATAACACTGCATAAAATGCACTCACAAAAATGCATGTCCCAATTTCAAAACTCACTCAAAACAACTTAATATTCAATAATCTTATCTCTTTATGTGCACGTCGCATACATATTTATTAAGGATGCAGATATAAGAACAGGTGAAAGCTAATAAAGATCTTACTGTAGTTGCTTTCCTACTTGGGAAATGGTATGTGAAAGGCTAACATAAGACATACGAGATCTGGAAAAATACTAATAACACAAATAAAAGCAAGGAAAATAAAACTTTCTACTTACACTTTTACTCCTGCCATGAAGATTACAGGTATTCCTGTTCATGATGACTCTGTCAGGAAATTTGAAGTGTTCTGCAAGTTTCAGAGTAGATGTGTTATGCTCCTGACCATTCAAATAGCAGCTGGTACACTGAAAAAAAATTAATTTATTCAGTTATCATCAGGGTCTTTGCCTGTTGCACAACATCCAGGTACAAGCTGCTGCTTTACAGTACATGAAAGCTGCAAACATTCATAAAACAGATCAGAGCACATGTTTAATGTACCACTACACCATATAATACATACAGTTACACTGAATCATACAGCCCATAAAATAAGCACATCAATGAATAGCGGCTCCTTTCCAGTCACTAACGAATGCATGCCAAACCAAAAAATTACAGAAAATTGCAGATGTTTGAGGCAGAGCTTTTTGCCATAGAAATTTAACTAGATATTGGCAATAGTTTTAAATAATGAAATAGACCTTATTCCATATTTTTAGCCAGTTTCTTGGTCTGATCTGAGACGTATGTGTTAACTTGTATACAATTCAGACCAGCAGACATAGACTA